TATATATATCTGAACATGTATTTACACTAATTTCGGATGCTCGTATGGATTTCTAGACAGTATATGTGTTGGCCAACGGGCATGATTCTGCTCTTGATCAATGGCTGAAGATTGGCCGCCAACGTTTGTAGCCTAGGAACGTGTTAAAGTCTCTGCAATTGGTAATTTTTCATGTTTTATTCTACTACAGACGCGAGATTATATGCAGTTTGTCACGATCAAGGACGGCGATTTTACAAATAACAAGTCAGGCACGTTTAAGCACACGGACTTAATTGGCCAACGCTATGGGGCTAAGGTGCAGGCTACCATGGGCTTCTGCCACGTGCTCAAACCCTCGGCTGAGCTGTGGACGAGTTCACTACCGCACAGAACGCAGATTCTCTACACACCCGATATCAGGTATGTATAGTAAAAGCCCCATCAAAGTATGTGCATATTGCCTGGTTGTAGGCGACTAAATGTTGGGACCCTTTATTCAACTGTCATGATACCGCAATAGGTGACGGGTATGATTATCGTAGGTCAATATCCTACACCCTCCGATATACTCACACAGCACTTCTTTGCTTCTGCAGTATGATTACTATGAGGTTGTGTCTCAAACCGGGATCGGTTGTTGTTGAGTCTGGCACGGGTAGTGGCTCGCTGTCGCATGCCATGGTTAGAAGCATTGCCCCCACGGGCCATCTCTACACATTTGACTTCCACGAAGAACGCGTGGCACAGGCCAAGTAAGTGTGAGCGAGCTTCTAAATGGTCGCACATTGGACGTACTTGTCGCTAAGAGAGAGGATTGTAGTTATCGAAAGCATACGTATTGCGTACTCTTTTGGTCGTTGGATCTTGGTACTCTTAGATGGAATCAAGTGTTCGTAATTAGTATACGAATCATAATCTAGTGGCTCATTGTGGGAAGCGTGATTATGTCCCTTTCTACTGTTTTATAATGTTTGAATTCAGTCTACGTGCTTCTCAAAGTACGTCCTGAGCGCTTACCCTACAATACTAAACTGACGCTCGCCTAATGGTCACCTCCTCATACCTTTAACCTCCCACATACCTCGCAATATGCACAGAAGCGACTTCAAAACGCATGCGGTAGACAATATGGTAACTAGTACGCATAGGGATGTGATGGGCACTGGGTTTGGCCTGACTGGTGTTGCAGATGCTGTGTTCCTCGACCTACCGGGGCCATGGGAGGCTGTGCCTAGTGCCAAGCAAGCGTTGAAGGCGGAGGGAGGGCTGGTGTGCTCGTTCTCGCCGTGTATTGAACAGGTACAGTGTGGGTTAGTAGTAGTCCTTATGTGCACATTGTTCAGCTTCTGGGTTTCATGCATGCCAATCAACACGGTGTTTTATCGTTGATATTAAAAGGCACAGTAGGTGGCAGTGCAAGTACATTCATACATTCTGGCTACATATTTTGATACGTACTATGTCCTAGGGTAGAGCGGGCTTGTTTCCACGGTGCCTTGTATATGTGCATAGCTATGCTGTGGTGTGCTCAGAGAATAGCAGTGTTGTGCATCTACAAAACGGAAACGTATAAAGGGGCGATGAACAACTTCGCACGGTCGCAGATCAGTGGCGCGTTTTGCTTGTATGGTGGTATCATCCAATTCTACGCGCGGCATAAGTTGTTGTTGATCGTAGTTATCAATCGCTCGCGTATGTGTGTATTTTTTTTGAAACCTGTACCATCTCACTCTGTAGAGACCTTAAAATTGTACTAAAACCTTTCTTCCCATTTCTTCTACATCGATACAATGTATACTCAGGTCCAGCGTACGTGTCAGGCGCTTAGAGACGAGGGATTCGTAGAATTAGAAACGCTGGAAACGCTGCAAAAACCATGTCATACGAACAGCTTTGAAATTCCCGAAGCTGAGTTCCGCACTTTGGAGCATTTCGAGGCGATGGAGAAGGAACGGGTGGAGTTGGAGGCAATGGAAATGAACGACAGGCCGCCGAAGCAAAAGATGGCCAAGAAGGTATAATATATATATATATATAAATTTATCTGTATCTGTATTTATGTTTATTTTTGTTTTTATGTTTATGTTTATATGCTTATATATATATATATATATATTTATATATATATATATATATATTATATATATATATCTATATATATATCTATATATATATATATGTATATATATATATATGTAAATGTATATATATATATATGCGTGTGTGTATGTGTGTGTAAACATATATATATATACGTGTGCGTGTGTATGTGTATGTGTGTGTTTACAGATGCGCATGTGTGTGTAAGCATGGGATAATTATGATACTCTCGTTTGTGTGTGACAAAATTCAGCCAACTTATACAGCCACAAGCTGCACTCGCTCTCCCAGAAACTGCTGTCGAAGCGCACGCGGGAGAGTATGATTTTGCGATCAGTAGTATTTTCATTTTTTGCACACATACACAAATTCATGCCAGGTATGAATACATTAGGGATAGGTCTATAGACTCGCATGTCTGAGAACGCGCGATTGTCCTCTTGTTCAGCCTTACATGAGCTGTAAGCCTGTTGTAGTTTTTGCATTAGATACATATGTGCACAATGCCATCATCAGCAATTACACCTGTGTATATATTCATTTCGTCTGCCTAGGTGTCATTTCGTACGAAGTCCAAGGCTAGAAACAACTTGTTCGAGCAAACACACCCGTGTATACCCACTCAATCGCTTGTATCTCAATGCTGAAATCCATGGCTTACAATGCTGAAATCTATAGCTTAGTAGCCTATATAGCTGCCCTTGATGTATTCCATACTGCCTATAGAAATCACTCTAATATTTTGTATACCCACCTCTAAACACGTCCGAGTTCACATACGTACTCGTCTATGTGCGCACATACAAACAAACAATGTACATGAGATTGTTCAGTATTGCTACACTTCAGCTATAGCTGCCGCCAATTCTCATCCATTTTTTGCAGAGAGGAACGCCCATGATTGCGCAAAATTCTTGTACCCTCGTTGTCTTGTGTTTTCATACGTATGCTTTTCTCATTTCTTTTTACCTTGTACCTGTACCGCTTTCACTGCAGCCTCCACCCGAGATGCACACAGTACTACACACGAGGACCATGGACAAATTAGCAGGGCATACCGGATACCTCACGTTCGCAAGGATTTATCAAACTTAGAGAGACGAGCATATACATAGCGCAAATCTTAGAACGTCTACTTTGTAATAAACTTTTAGTGTAGATTATCTAGTCTTTTAGATTTCAACTATCAGGCTTACTTATTCTCTTTGATCAGCCAGATATTGTTCTTGTGGATTGTTTTAACAGCGAAAGTTCTGTGACCTGCTGGCGAAGCATATCCATTCACCGAATCCTTGAGGTGTGACTTAGCCGGCGTATTAATAATCTAAAGGATAGTTCTTGTTTCATAGTAACAAGGGTGGAAGAACAGACAGGTTGATCCTAATACATGCGCTTTGCGTGTGTTTTGACACCTGTCTTTTGAATAGAACATTGGAGAGGTCGTTTAGAAACCATCATCGTAGAGCTCTTTTTTTATTGAAATTGTGCTGTGCCGTGCAGAAACCTGCTATCTGAACTTCGAAATATATTTTGGCCTTGATACATTCAAGCATGAACATATGTCTATAATGCTTGTTGCGTTTAGCACCGTGCATTTAGCATCTCTCTCGCATGCACTAAAGAATACCTTGCGCGTCGGGAACACCTCTCACCAATGGAGCAAGCTTCGTGCATGGGATTGTTGATATAAACGAGAGAAGCGGATAGTTCTTCCCACGCACACTATGCCTAGCAGTCAATAATTGAGACATATCTCGGGAATATATATTATTTAGGTCTTTTGAATTTGAACTTCGTGTTGATGTTTTTGGATCCTATGTAGGAAATATAAAGTTTAGCACTCAGTGAGCTACAGCATATATGCGACGCAACTAATTTTAATGCTAACCAAGACTCCGAGCAATGGTTAGTAATCCCCAAAAGCTCTGGACACCTAGAAAGTATAACCTTCTCTAAACCTATGATTTGCTCGCAAGCATAGACTCCTCACTATCTCCCAGCAGCTTTGTTAAAGCCCTTATTGCTGTACTCAACTTTGCGATTTCATCTGCGGTGAGCGCATCTGCGGTGAGCGCATCTGCAGTATAAAAATTGATGTTATGGTTGGATGAAATTCAATACACCGAACCTAACTGTATCGCTTATCATCTTCTCCATAAGCACGCCACCGTTCCGCGTATGCTGATATATCCTTCAGCACATGGTATACAACCACCAAGAGGCTACGCAAAAGAGAGCAGTAGCCTGCCGTTGTAAATTTCGGCCAGCGGTCAAGGAGTCACGCATCACGCGAGTGTGCGACGTGAACAAAATAAAAAACTGTAAACTATTTGTTCTCCTGTATGGATTAACTGAATAGTTAGTTGACTGAATAGCCGATGAATGTAGCAAAGCCACGAATATCAATCACACGTTCGGTTTCAGTAAGAGGCAAATTAGGGGATAGTCTACACATCACATCTCATCAACTTATCAAAATCGCCATCATCTGATAACATCATCCATTTTGGACAGGCTCACTGACATTCCTAACATATTTTACGTTTTCACGCATTTGAACGAGAGTATATGCAAGCCACATACTGTCATATCCAGACTCTCCTTTAAAGTAGACTTCGACCAACTTATGCAATTCGGCGGCTCGTGTGGATTCCTCGAGCGCGCCCTAAATCCCGCCACAGTCAAACAACGGAATAAAAGCCAATAATACAATTTATATGTTCATGTTAATTCAGTATCCCTTTGGTAGTATTCATCGGTATCAATTGAATAAGATATGACCAACCAAAATTTGACCAATTCTCAGCACAGGACTCGAAATGACAAATTTCAAACAGATTATTATTATATTGTGACCATTCAATACCATGTTCCATCTATGAGTACCAGGGCATAGTACGAATCTACCTGGATAGTACGCACTTTGGTAGCAAAGAGGGCACCACTCAAAAACTATATACTCTCTGCTATACATCCGAGGCACTTGGTTCGAAGACGTGTCAAATCCCTCACCCTATGGTAACTACCGAGATCAAACAGTATCGTTCCCAATGCGATTGAAAATGTGTATTATAATAAACGTACGCCTGCGGAGAGATTACTCACCTTAATGTCCTCCAATGACGTTTTCACCGTACTCAAACTTTCCAACAGAACGGCCATTCTGATCAAGTAGTCACCAGACCTGATGCCTTCTGTAGCCAAACTTTCGAGCTGATGCAGTCGCAGCGACTTTGCTGCAATAGCGGATATTAATGAAAAAGATCATGTGGCTTTGTATTTGACCGTGATTTTTAAGTTGTGACTCTCGCATGGATCCACAATAGCCGGGAGAAATATGATCTGCTCACTCAGATTGATATCACCCTTGGCGTTTTGACATAGGGTTCTGATTTAAAAAGTTGTTGGCATCGGGCACCAAAAAGAACCGTGCTCGGGATTCGCCGGTATCTTCTTGGAAATAAAACTAATATTACGTTTATCAGAGCGCTCTGTAGTTGAGTTTTAAATGTAGACTTCGAAAGGAGAAATACAGCGCCAGCTAAGCCAGGCTGTCTAATACGTATGGACAGCTTAACACTACGCCGCATACAATGGGCTTAGATTTGAACTAAAACTAGAATGTTGACATTCACGATTCGGCGAGCTAGTCAAAGACTTTGATTTTCAATCACAGAGCATAAGAATATAAACTCATCCAGAATATCATGATGTTCTCTCGAAAGAGACTACATATAGTTCGAATTTATCGCAATCAACAACTATTGCCGTGAGGCAAACAGAAGAAAAGATACCTTTCTCGAGAGTGCCAAGTGCTTCAGGCCAGCTCGACGCCTTCATTTCATACAGGCAGTATCCAAGCCTTTCAAGACAGATGATATGAAGCTCATCCTCGATTGTATCAGAAGGTTTTGCCTGCAAGTAAATAAAAATGCACACAATAGAAACGGTTGATATTCATACGAATCCTTTCCAATCGAATCAATACCGCGACAACCGCTGTAAAACGGTATCTGTCTGACCAGCAGTAATATCACGCAAATCCAGCCGTTACTCTCCCACATAATTTAACAATGCGATACAAGATTTTTACTAACGTACCGACTATAATGCGGCCCATACCTTATTGCCAGAGCCAAAGTGTATACTCAACCCTGTTGGTGGCATAGATCTTTGTATATCACTCTGAGACAGCCCATCAACTTCTGCACGCTCCAGACACCATCTGTAGCCAACCAATGCTGTCTATAAAACACCGGATATGGTTCGCTAGTCAGCTCCTAGTACTATATAGGCCTATGCCGATGAGTGTATCGATAACTAAGAACTTTACATGAGCCACCACAGACGAGGATTGTGTCATAGAAAAACGATGTTTTTATGAAATTGAGATGGATCAGGTTCACATTCCAATTGCGACCCATGTAGTCAATACAGTCTGTATGGCATGGCGCTGTCAGAACAGCATCAATATATCTTGTATCATGTGTGGTAACACTTCCGAGCCGACAACCTGACTCCCTTCGTATGAGACCCTCAAATATATGTATCCACCCTGCAGCAGGTATGATCAACTATGAAAGCGACTATAGAATCTGTACAAAAAGGGAGACCGGGGAACACAAGTATTGATCTTTATCCTATCACAAGCGACTGATAAAATGGAGAACCACCTTAATTAAAAGACAACCGAACACATGCCCCAACTCATTTACCATTCATCATTCGACACTTGCATATTACACATGTGCCAACAATTCTATAGAAGAGTAATCTATGAATGCAAACCAAACAGAGAATAGACAGTTATCACACACCTCATAATCGTCATTCTCCATGCTGATATCGGCAACGGAGAGCGCGGCGCCAACAACGCCTTTGTTGCTATCTTTATACCCGAGTTGTAACATACACTGCATCAGCTTCACATAATACTCCTTCGCCATTTTCAAGTCTCCGTGTTTGTGACAGAATTGTGCTACCTACACAGTATGTACGTTTCGCATGAAAAAAAAATGCACAATGCGTGAGTAACTTATACACCTTCCATTCAACGCAATTGACTAGCGTTTAGCAATGAGGCAGGAAGTGGAACAAACGAGAGTCCAATAGATGAATGATTTGCATTCCAACTTGCACCACTTCAGCACACGCTGATACACGCACAGGGCACACACTAGCCATCTGTGCGCTGATCTGTCGATCCATGGTCATGTATAAGACTAGGTAAAGCATCGAGATTGTAATTTCTCGCACATAGACGCATACATAGCACGCACTTGTACACAACGCACCTTATCAGCCATGAGCACTGTACTTAAGCTCACGAGGCCAAAATCTTTCACTGTCAAGGAAAAAGCCTCCAATAACTTCCTCTTTGCAGCCTGGATATCGCCCTCTTTTTCGAGTATATTTGCACGGACAAGACATTCTTTCGATTTCCAACTTAGTCCACTGCGTTTTACATACCAGCTGAACGCAATGTAGCCCACGCCTAACAGGACTCCACATCCCAACAATGCTCTAATGGGAAGTAAATGATATGCACGCATAAGACTCCGGAAAACACATCAACTAAAACACCTTATCCGACAGGACTTAGATAAAAATGAATGTTACACAACTCATTTGTGAGCCTATACCGAGACTCCCCCCAACATATACCCAAAGTACAAGATTGAAAGACATTTTACATATATATATATATACTATACATATGAAAAAAAACACATAGTTAAAAAAATTACCAAATATGTACCACCATACAATCGTAGGTATAGACAAATACGTATCCGTAAACACACACACAAATATAAATA